TCACTGATTGAGGCAATATCGGCCAGCAATCCTGATTTTCAGTTTTCAGCGTAGATAAGGAAAAATAAGTCTTTTAGGTTAAATAACCAATAAATGATAGTGAGAATAAAGCAAATGGCACTTACGAGAGATCTATGAACTGCTCTACCGTAAGCAAATCATAGAAGAACAATACAGAGGAGCATAAATTTCTGTAAATGGCTCAAACCATTAACTAAGCTGCCGTGTGTGGTTTCGAAAATTTCGAGCTCAGTGAATGATGTTAAACAGCACTTCGCAGTTCTGGTTCAAACTTGGTGCAGATTACAGCATTTATTGTTTGTCAACACGCGTAATTAATGGTGACATGTGCTCACCATGGCAACCACTGCATCGCACCCTGCGGTATTTTTCATGTTACCTTACCATGAAATTTTATTACCGCGTCCTCTAGTTACTGCCATCGCATTGTTTTGGACTGCTTGTTTGGCAGGTTCTCTTCTTATTTCTTAGATAACCCGTGGACGTGTTGGGCTGCATTAGGTCTTGTTTTGCAAATAATCGAGCAGAGATGCCTCATTACCACCAAAGTCGCTTTTGACAAAACAGCCTATCGATGTATAGTGACGTAGCAGATAAACGTTTCTCTCTGCTCATGACCGTTCCCGAGTGCCCTCAATAGAAGAGAGATACCAAGCGTTGGTAGAGGTCTGCTCGACAGGATAACCTACGAAAAATCATCAGCAGACAATAATAGATCTGATCCTTAAACTGACACTTTTGCCCTGCAAAATTCTGAAATGGAGAAATTCTGGTTTTGGCCTAATAAATAGCAAATCAGACAGTTGAATTTTGTTTTCTTTTGCAGCAGATTAGACTGGCTGCTGCAGATTGCCAGAGAATTCATGCCGTCTTTTGATAAAATGGCGCAACAGGCTGCACGTGTCCATCGAGTGTTATGCGTACTGACGTACTGCCATCTCTGTGGGTTTCCTCGTATATGCTCTCTCGGCTCTAAAGAATTTAAAGCTATCTAGCCGATTTGGTAGGGCACGCGTTTTTTTAACATACGCTCACATGTGAGGTAGCCAATCAAGTAAGCTCATCAGTCTTGAGCCACAAAGATTTGTAAATGGCTAATGCTTCCGATACGAGAGTCAGTATTCTTGTTTTGGATTACGGTTATGAATTATCCTGAAATGCGAAATGCTTCAGAGATCCTGTGGGCAAATGTTAACCAGGTGGTTTGCTGACGATGTACAGGAACGGTCTTCGCAATTAGCATACGCAGTATGGGGAATTAGAAGCTCTCTTTTCTGCAACATGCCGACAGAGGCGAACCGGCGCATGATCGGACCTCTGATGGCCCTATCCCATGGAGTCAGGACTATGTAGGGTGAGTGCTAATCAGATAAACAGACGACTGACCAGTTCTTCGTCGTCGAAGAATTGACAGGCACACAGCGAGAAGTCTACGTCCTTACAGCTAACGACCTTCTCAAATTTTGCGTCTTGATTTGGCACTGTGACAAATAACTTATTGCAGACCCACGTGTATGTTGTCCCCCTCGTCAGTTATCATCGCTACAGTCGATCCTTCACCCCTGTCTTTATGTGTGTTTAGATTTACCAGATGACTGAGTCTGTGAAATCGGCAATGGAACATTAAATTTAATAGGCCCGCAAGCCACCATGATGTAAATGCCAGCAAATTGGCTTACAGAATGGACGAATCTGGTGCACTTAAGTTCAGATCTTGATCATGGGACAAGTACCTGCAAGCTTTACAAGAGAAGCGGCGAGGCATAGAAAAGGACTGTGTTCCAGAAGAGGAGATGGAAAGAAGAAACTAGTCTGGAGGAATTTTGTGTACCGCTATTCGGTAAGTTAGTTTGGATCATATACGTAATGCTGAGAGCTTTAAGATCACGAAACTCCGTAGCATTGATTTAGTGTGTGTAAATTCGGCAGGTGTACTTTATCGGTTCGTTCTGCTTGACTGGACAAATGCCGATTGATTAGTCTTGCCGAAAAGACAAGAACCATTGTCGCTCTGCGTCGAATTATTTCTCTAGGATTGCCCGAGACTTTGTTGGAGTGTCACTGCCCGTCAGGCTTTCAGTGCTGTTGCCCAGAGAGATCATTCAGAGCCACGGTTGCGGAACACAGTTCTGTGCGTTCCGATTCATTGACTGATT